CTGTAAATGGTACCAAGCACGAAGGCAATTTACCAGTTTCAGCCTGCAGGATAACGTAATATTATCTATACTATAATATTTTAAACTTGACGAAATCTCCCCGGCATGTAACCATTTAAGCATTTAACCAAAAATTACCCCTTCGATGTGACCAATTTCAGCTAGCAAAAGGAGTTGAAACCTCGCGATTTTTAGCAAGGTTGTAGAAAAGGGAAATGTAGTTGTTACGTATAGCTTTCTTAGAATTTTGATTTAGGCTTTAGATTTTTTATAATTAACGTCAAATTTAAAATTTGGGAATGGGTTTTGAGGTATTTTTGAGTTTTTTTGGGTTTTTTGTAATTTTAAAATTTTGTGTGTAACTTTTTATCTAATTCGACTACATTGAAAACAAAACCCCTACTAAATAGTGGGTATAATTTTCCCATTTCCAATGTTTAATGAGCTGTTTAAAGCAATTAATGGGTGGGTATCTTATTCTATATACCAAAAAACAGTTAGTACCACGATTTTTCGACAGTTAGTACCGCAAAAGGCGGCAAAAGGGGCGGGTGTCTTACGTATTATCCAAAAAAACAGTTAGTACCGCAAAGGGGGTGGGTGGGTCTAGTGAAAAATATCCAAAACTACACTTAGTCGACGTGATGTCCGGCACTTGGTGCCTGATCCCCCCCCCCCCCCCCCCCCCCCCCCCCCCCGTTAACGTCGGAAGTAAGGAAAAATTGGCGTTAGAAAAATGGCGAAATTACATCAAAAGTTTACTACGTCGTTGCGTAGCAACAGCAAGCGATTGCACATGCGCGAACAAGCACAGCTTAGCAACGCACGTTGCCATGCTTTATGATACGCCATGACTAGCTCACGTTTGATCGATATTCTTTGATACGGTAAAACTAAAAGCTTAAAAGGCGTCGATTAGGGAATCCGAATATTTATAACGTTGTCGTCATTGTCAAATAAAATCCATATTTTCTACAGTGCAGACTACGGAGCTCCGTACAGAGCTTAGAGCTTTGCTACTCAGTACTCAGAGGCGAAGAGATTAGAGAAATTTAAACATAAATGATTTTTTAAATTTCCTCGACCAAAACTAGCGGGTTTTTAGTAATATATATAGTACACGTTCATTGAAGTTTGAGGATATTGGTAAATTTCTAAAATAGCGTTTTTGACGACAGTGGCTTAATTTTAGCATCTATTAATCTAGCGTGTTCATAAGTTCTGAACATTAGCCACGTGACCCATACTCCCATATGCACTGCTCAGAAATAAAATGTATTGCTTTTAGGCACTATAATGTAAAAAATGTCACATTTTTGTGACATTGTTTACCATAGCTGCCCAATTATCATTCCTTGGTCTGAAACATAGTAGATTAGGTCAATCTAACAATTATGATACAACATTGGTTAAAGGGCACGGATCGAACGGCTTTAAGGCAATATTTCGTAAACTTTGTCACACTCAGAATACGAGACCTCTTTTCTACTGTGAGGTGTCCTCAAAACCCTTTCAACTCATTATTTGATGGTTCTTCTGCCAATCATAGCCCTAAAATATGTTGTTTTGAAAAGTTAGCTAATACATGCACTTGGTTATTCGGAAATGATGTAAATTCTGTCACATTATATGGAATTTGAAATTCTGGGTGAATTTCCGAAATCATTTATATCTGATTTTGGTTTGAAAAGCGGGAAAACTCTATATAAGGACGATACACGGATACAGTTGATTCAAGTATAGGGCAGTTGATGTAAACATCGTCACAAAATGATACGACATCGTAAATAAGTTAAATTTTGCGGGAAAACTCTATATAAGGACGATACACGGATACAGTTGATTCAAGTATAGGGCAGTTGATGTAAACATCGTCACAAAATGATAAGACATCATAAATAGGTTAAATTTGGAAACAATGCAATGATTATAGAATGAAATAGTCTGTGATTAACATATTACATACATTATAAAATGTTCTTCCAGGAATTATTGGTTGGTTATTGTTCAGCAAATTAGAACTCAAGTTTAACAATGCTGAGTTTAATTTTACCAAGTTACTGAAATTTGACGAAATTTACTTTTCCTGCCCCAACAGTATAATTTCAATGTGATGAAAAATTGGCATGGGTTTCTATATTTCCTGTATAAATCCATTCTAACTACAATAAGGACTATTGATATGAAAGAAAATCTATCTAAATTTTAAAATGACGTATGTGACGAAATTTACATTTCTTGCCCCTATTTTGAAGAACCATACCTCGGTTAAAATTCAATTTTCTTCCAGGAATTATTGGTTGGTTATTGTTCAGCAAATTAGAACTCAAGTTTAACAATGCTGAGTTTAATTTTACTAAGTTACTGAAATGTGACGAAATCCACTTTTCCTGCCCCAACAGTATAGTTTCAATGTGATGAAAAATTGGCATGGGTTTCTACATTTCTTGTATAAATCCATTCCGACTATAATAAGGACTATTGGTAGGAAATAAAATCTATCTAAATTTTAAAATTACGTATGTGACGAAATTTACATTTCTTGCCCCTATTTTAAAGAACCATACCTCAGTTAAAATTCAATTTCCTTCCAGGAATTATTGGTTGGTTATTTTTCAGCAAATCAGAACCCAAGTTTAACAATGCTGAGTTTGGTATCACTAATTTACCGAAATGTGACGAAATTTACTTTTCCTGCCCCAACAGTATAATTTCAATGTGATGAAAAATGGGCATGGGTTTCTATATTTCCTGTATAAATCCATTCTTGCTATAATAAGGGCAGTTGATATGAAAAAAATCTATCTAACTAATGCTATGGCTGATGTGACGAAATTTACATTTCTTGCCCCTATTTTGAAGAATCATACCTCAATTAGTATATAATTTTACTTTATCACCAGGACATATCTTAAGGACATATCTTAAGAGGAAAGGAAGACTCACCAGCATACACCTCTATGTTATTTGCTATAAATTCTGATATTTTTCTGGGAGGGAGACGGGGTAGACCATGTTTAAACTTATTAGATGTTATTAGAAAAGACTTGACTAGTAGAAATCTTGATATTAGACTTAAGAATTTGACTGATTTCGAAGACCTTAGATTTTTAGCTTTAGATAGGGAGGAGTGGAAGAAGTTAGAAGATGGTTGATGTTTTTGTTTTCTTTTTTATGCGTTTTGATATCTATAAGGTGCCTAGGATGCTCTTTTAAAGAGATATTTCGTACTTTGAAAGATTTACTACTACTACTTATCACCATCACTATGTCGATAAATTAGTTATTTTGCCAACACGGAGCAAATAAAGTTATAATATTTTTTTTGTGACGAAATTTACAAATTTTTACCCTGTTCAGGTGTTGAAATTTTGCCAATGTTAACATATCACTGCCATATAATAATTTATATGACCGGCGTATGGTTGAAATATTGTTAATTGATCCATAGTACGTAATATAGGGTGTTTAAGTTGGTATACTAATATTTACTCAATTTCACACATGTTGAGATATCATACAAATTTATGTGACTAAATTTACCTATTTCTGCCTTCTGTATTTGTATTTGCCTATAACAATGAAATATGTGAATAATTCCAAACACATTCAGCTCACAAAACAATGCTAGACTATTCGGCATTTCTTGTCAGGATGTCATAAACATCCCTCATATAAATTTCTTAAATGTGTGACGGAGTTTACATGGTGCTACCATTTAACGAAAAAGTCGCTAAATTTGTAGATAATAGTCATATGCAACTATCCTATAAATTTGAAATTCGAAAATTTGGTCAAACACGGCAACAAGGGGTCCATATAAACTCTGTCACATTTTTATAGTGTGACAAAGTTTACAACTCACTGCCGGCCGCATTTAAGCGATATCTTATCGTCTGATAAAGATATCGTTATGCGACAAAGTTTATCTAGAGGATGAAACGATTATCCTAACCATTGAGGCTTTATATAGTTTCATAGTGTGACACATTTTACATCATCGTGCCATTTAGTAGGGTCACTAATATTTACCAATATCCTCAAACTTCAATGAACGTATAATAATATGTGGTTAAAACACGCCACACGGGTAGTGGTATAACATTAACAAAACCAGCGGGTTTTGAGTAACATATAATATTAATATGTACTAGTTAAAACACGGGTAGTGGTATACGGAGTTTAAATACAGTTTAGAGTAATATTCTCTGAAAGATAAAGCTTTTGACATATATATCACATATATTGGGACAAAAAGATGACATTATCACATAACTGGCATAAACACCACTATTATGGTGATTAGTAACCACCAGAGAATCATTACGGGATATAACTGAGATGCACACGTAGCGGATGTTCTAGGGTTGCTGCTCGCGAGGGTATATAAACTATCACATTTTGACGGTCATCATTTTCAAGTTTGTTACTTTTCAGTCTGTGCCCTGTTGCGATCGTCGTTATGGAATTTAGTAACCGGTTTCTATCAAAACATCGGATGTTAGTCATTGGATGATCGGACATAAAAATTAGAAATATTTTTAAAATAACTAATTTTAGCCTTTGTTTGAAATTGAGTGTACTGAAGTGCTAAATAGTAATGTGTGTTTGTTTGAGTGAAAATGTATCAAACGACCGAACAGGATATAAAATAGGCGCAGGCGGAATCCAAAACTTTTACAGTAAAACCCCGATTTATTTTATTTTTTATGTACGCATGGTGTTTTAATTTTAAATGGAGCTCAAAATCTAACAAAATTAAGACAAACAGTTCGAACTGCGATTTTTGTGGTAAATTGTAGATAATTTATCATAATTGTCCTTCATAAATTAAAAAATAAAGATTTCAATTTATATGGACATAACTGGGTTTAGCTACTGTATATTAATATAGTCCATAAGTTATAATATAAGAATCACGGACCATAGAACTTGAACCTAATATAGCTGAAAAGACCCTTTTAGCTAAATAGTACGTATAATAATCTACTATAGTTTACCTTAGCGAAAGCAGCAGCAGTTGTCTGAACTCTGCCCTCGTCGCTTGCGTATATCTTTAGGTCGTGACGGTATGTGCTGTGAAGTCGTATAAATCCACTTCCCGGCAACGCACTGTAATCTGCAGGGAGACGTTATGGTTACGTTTTGTGCTTTTGTGGTACCTTGAAAATGAATGAATGAATATGATATGAGATATAATAATCATTATTCTAATTATCATAACACGGTTTGTCGGTCTGCGAGAAACCACTTCTCCCAGTAAAGATACTGGACTCAGTTAAGATGTTTTACAGAGCTCGCAGATTCTGTTAAAAAAGGATTGTTTTGAAAACAAATTTTGATGATGAATGAAACCACTGAGCAAATTTTGAGTATTAGACGCTATAACCTAAGCAGTTATAACCTTAAACCTGATTAGTTATTTAAAACTGATTAGTTACCTCCATTTTTTAATGTCGAGGAACCATTAACTCTCGGCCAATGAATGAGTTTTGGGGTTATCTTGGCACGGTTTTCTGATTATTCAGGTCTTGATTTGATGAGCATATATATGTGCACGATGCGACTGGAGGATTATTTTTTTGCAATAAATATTTTCAGCTCATTTAGCTTGATCAGCTGACCCACCTCGGAGATAAATTTCAAATTAATCCACAGACAACATAGTTCAGATTATGTTGTGGTATTTAAGCGACATTCTCACTATTAAAACATTAGATAGAGACATCGTCTGAATCTATTACCCCAGATCCCACCCGTGAGCTCATAACTATGATTGATTTGATTTTGTGAACTTGAGATTAAACATATTTAAACGCGTTAACTCCTGAGAGTTTTCCTTTGACGATCCCCTATTGCGATATAACATGACGACTGTGACGATCGAAAATATCTTCTTTATTTTACATAAATTTATTAGAAAGACCGTGACCACAAAGAGAAAGCTTATAATATTCTGTGATTGTCACCGTCAGTTTGTATCTCATCAAAAATATTCATCTCAACCGAGGATACATCCGATTAAAATGTAGAACACAGTAAACACACTAAACACACTAAACACACTAAACATAACAAAATCACCACAAAACTGCTCATAATGTTGTTCAAATAATCTTTGCACGTGCAATTGCGCATTACAATACCATTATTATGTAAATTTTGGATTAAAATCGAAAATCTTAAATTCAATAAACTAATGTTAAAGGCTCTGATCTGCAATAAGCACATTTATTAGGTAATGAAATTTTCAAGAAATTGTTTTACTCATACCGCTGCAATTCAGTGTCTTATCAGTACAAGTATGCACTAGGAATGTTTTGTTAGAATGGCGGGTGATTTTGAATGAGATATTGATAATGCAGTGCAATTTGTGCAATTTCAGTTTCATAGCTGTTAACAGTGTCCGCTTTTTATATTCTTACTCTTAGGTAACTTAGGTAATCCAGGTAACTAATGAAGCAAGAAAGGTGGCCATTGAATACTCAACATATTCCAAAATTTGTGCAAAAAAGTAAGAGCGTTTTTGATGATAACCCCGTGAACATTTAAACCTCGTGTTCTTTAAGGCCTTGTTTTGTGTGATCTTGGAGTTTAAGGACATTATAATAATAGTTCACATTTCCAATCATAACTGCTCAGTGCTCTCACACCTTATTTTTCTTTTGCAAAAAGGGAGTCTATGAGAGATTTTGCGGAAAATCCCAATAAATTAAATGAGATTGGACAAAACTTTGGAATATTTGTAAACAAGCCTTCGATGGCATATTTTGTTTTATTCTATACATCACACCGATAAATCTTGAGATCTTGCTCTTCACTGCTTTGCACCCCCGACTAAGCCTTCCATCAACAATTACAGATACCTTGCTTCAGTTTTACGCTATTATATTAGGGGTCGTTCACATATTACGTAATCAACCGAGTGGGGAGGGGGGTTTCCAAATGATTACCGATTACGCTAGTGTAATTTTTACACAATAGGCTCTATGTGTAGAAATGATTACGAAGGGGGTAAAAATTGTCCAAAAATTGATTACGTAATATGTGAACGACCCCATTTGTGTTTTTAATTGACTATAGTTCTATTTAATTCGTTTTCTCGAAAAGATAATATAACATGTTTAAAAAAAATTAAAAGACCCTCAGTATTAAAAGACCCTCAGTATTTAACCACCAAGCCAATGTATCCGTTACTACGTCATATTGACTTCAACTACTAGGTACGGACTACGAATCGAACCATTTCTCCGAATTTCAATCGGTTCAACAGGTTGGAGGTGGATTGAGTGAGGACAAGCGCAGATATTGGAAACCCCCAGGGTCAAAGGTCTGAGTTTTGATATTTGCGGCAATTTTTGAGAAATAGCCATTAAATTTAAACCTCTCAGCCAAGGCATCTTCAGAACTTAAGATTGACACGTTTTATCTGCTTAGTTTTCTTATTTCGTCCCAGTAGACCATTGTTTATTCGCCATTGTTTTTTAGTAGTTCTGATATTGTTCTAATTGTTTTTTTGTAGTACCGTTTTTTCAATGTTGACATCGGATTTTCCGACGATAACTTTCTTGTTTCCGTGCCAACTTTTCAAGCCATGGTAATATCCAGGACTTAGGATTAGCACGCTCATGTTCACGTCGAATAGGATTGTTTTTAGGTGCGGTCCCCAGTGTTGGAGTGCTTAGAATCACCGCAAGGTTTTCGCACTGTAGTCTAGCACCGTCTGAATCTATTAGTTTTACCCTATCCCACCATCCCCCATTCAAATAACTATTTCATGCGCGAGCTCATACCTAAATTAGCGGCGGCGTGCACGGTGATGAGATTGCCTAAATTTGAGAAACCTGCAGGCTAATAGTAATGTTCTAGAACAGTGGGAAAGGCTATTTGTCTGATACATACCCGGAATATATTATTGTTAAGTTGTCAGTCGGATCTATGGGACGTGGTCGATTACCCTCGAATTTTAATATCATTTGATCTGTGTGTGACAAACCTGTGCCCCTATAAAACACAGGTGCATCCCATCGTTATTCGGTGCGTGTCTTCAATTTTTTAAGGGTCCCGCAAACTTACTAATTAGTACAGTCAAGGAAGGAGTAAACGAACGAGACGCTTTTGTTTTTTATATGGTATTTACTATTTAGTCGTGAAGTCATTGCTTATCATGATAGCGAGGGGAGCCAGGGGACATCATATTTTGATATCTTGAGATAAGAGAATGTTTGGCATTGCATGGTAGAATTATTTTGGAGTAAGAGAGTGAGGGAGGAGAAATAATAACGGGAAATTTCTGGATAAATATTATAGATTATCTAATATCCAGATTGTAATTAATAATATACCAATGTCTGGTCGATGTCTGGTTAATAGTATTTGTCTGGTGAGATGTTGCCACCTACCTGATCAATACTTCATTAAATTGTGGAATTATTCCAGGATAAAGGGGTAGAAATTATAGTCATGCTACAGTATTGAGTATATAGGTGCCTGGTTCCATTAATGACGTTATTTACCGAGAATTCACCAGGGATCAATTTTAGCGTTCATACCGAGTCACTTAATTTTCCAGACGTGTGTCTTTAAGGTACCCAAACTTACGGTTTCATGGTCGAAAAATCTACATTATAAGTACTGCTACTCGAGGATTGGTTGTAACTCGAATATAAAGGGATTTATTAAATTTATTCAATAAATTCAACTATTCAACTATTTTCCCTGTTGTTTTGTTTGCTCACGAAGTATATTGCTAATTTTTTTAATTTGTCTTGCTGCACCTACTGAAATTTAGATTGTTTTAAATTAAGGTGATTTTAAGTTATTGGTTAATCACAAGAGCGTCACTCTGACCTCAGCTGTGACATCAGCACCTGTTCCTTTAATGGTGTAGATTCCTCACTCGGGCGGGGCTAAACACTATAAATACCAGCCCATTTCATTAGTTGTTCCAACTAACTTAGCTTTTATGTAGGGCTGTATGCTGCAACGCCGAAAGGTCTCACCGCAAAGACCAGACGTGAAATGGTCGAACTTCTATCTAATCTAGAGAATTGCCCATCATAGTAGAGTTTTGGCCTTGTGACTTGACAGATAATGATATTTGTCATAATGTTATAGCGGGGAAGATTAATTGAAATCTTCTTCAAGAATGTGCGATTTCTAAAATATATCCACTATTATTGTCCAGCTCAGACCCAGGGTCAATTTGTTATGTCTCATCAGCGCCGGATAACCCCTGATTTAAAGAGTTTAGTCCATGAGCTCCAATACAATCTAAAAACTGTTTCACCTAAATTGCATTTACTTGGCTGTTATACCTCACGGTAATTTGATTGAACCCCAGCTAGTTTAATATCAGAGTAACGTTAACTTCTAGCATCCACCTTAAAAATAGACTTCGCTGAAGAAGATCAAGTTGGTCTTGTTTCACAATAGGGCAATAGGGCCTATACTAGTATTATACATTGTAGTTAACACGCGATGGGGTAGTTAACACGCGATGGGGTGGCACGGACACTTAGGTGTGCCTTAAGTGTGCCTTAAGTGCCCGCCGACAGAGTACCAGATTGCCTCTATATTCTTATATAAATACATTTTCTCATTGTCCACTCCCGTTTAGGCGTTTATTTTGAATTATAGATTTTAATAATGATGTTTATGTACAGTTGAAATCCTAGTATTTTGCTAGCACAGCGCACTGCGAAGGGAATTGTGTAGATAAGCCTAATTGTGACTGCTTAATGCTCAATCTCAGTTTTTAAATTTTACTGCACTAACGTTTGAGCTAGACTCAAATTCCTAGAGCTGTTGTATTTTTTTAAAGATATCCTACAACTTATCCTGTATCTTAGGTACGTTAAAGGGAAGGTTTTTATTTGTTTCGTTCATCGTGTTGTTATTTAATTATGGTCCTATGTTAGACAGGCTATAATCGGAGATACGTATTACGTAATCTGTTAACCTTTATTTCAAAATACTGTGGATTTCTCCTTGCTGCTTGTCTTAGTGGTGCTCTTCAAAACATATGACCGCTGCTACGCCCATATAAACCTTGTGCATCAAGTAATACAGTTTTTTTAATCTTCTGCAAAGAAAAATCAATTACATCTGCCAAACAAC